CCCCCGACTCTGCTCTGGCTGTCCTGGAACTCGCTCTGTAGACCAGGCTGGCCTTCTCTGCCTCCCAAGTGCTGGGACTAAAGGCGTGGGCCACCACACCTGGCGAGAACTGACTCTTGAAAGTTGTCCTCTGACCCATAACACACATGCTGTGGCACCCGCCCCCCATGGAAATACTGTAAAAACACAGAGTATTATCAAAATCTATCTCTCTCGTGAGACTGTGGGGTGGCAATGTCCTACAAAGCAACAACAACAAACCAAAGTCCCCCATGCTGAGGTGGTTTTGATGAACAGTTCTGAACCGTTACCACAGGCTTTGGTGCCAGGAATGCTGGGAAATGGTACCCAGTGTGGGGTGGCACCTTGAGGGTCTCACAGTCAAAGAAACCCAAGAAACACATTTCACTTCTCAAACACACATTTTTCTTTCAGACTCTTTATTGTCCCAAGTAAGAAAGATTTTAAAATAAATAGATAAATACCCACAATAAATAAGAAGAAACCCCCAAAAAATACATTCCCCAGAGTCAGGAAGATTCAGGAAGCATAGCTGGGGCTTCGGCCCTGCAAAGGTCCCACCATGCTCAGTGGGTCAGAGGAGCCCACATCTGGAGGTTCTGGGGCCAGGAACCCTGGTAGCTCCTGGGGCTGGTGGAGCAGTCCTGGCACTGGCAGGGGGGGCACAGGTCCCCAGGATGCTGGGGCCTGGTTTGGAGAGTCCCTCTGGGGCAGGCGCAGGGGCAGGCCATGGACTTCAGATTGGTACACATTGTATCCATCCTCAAGCAAGAGCTCCCTGAAACTGCAGGCCTCAGGATCAAAGTGAGGCTGGGGGCAAAGGAAAGAGTCAGAGACCCACAGTACATTTCCAAGATCCAGACCTGGACCCACTCTGCTTACCCCTGGGATCCAACCCAGCCCTCTCTATCTGCAGACTAGCAGGGTCAGGCCCACGTTCCTCCCTCAGCTTTTCTGTGTTTAGGTTGGCAGCCTGTCCACCATCTCCAGTCATGTCTCTTATCGGTCATGGGTACCAGAATGTCCCACGGTCAGAAGAACCTGTGGGAGCTCACATGGTCACATACAAGGTTACAGTCCTGACACCTAGCCTCTCCAAGGACTAGTCTGCCCTTCACATACATCAGGACTCAAGCCAGTGGTGACCTGCCTGGGCCTCAGTTTTCTCCTCTTGCAAACACAGACAACAGGACCACAACCAAGAGAGAATGCACTAAACACACACCCTGCTTTTAAGCATGGGGCCTCTGAGGATGGACCACAGAAAGGGACTCACCGATCCATACAGGGTTCCGTCTGGTTGTTGGCAAAGAAACCTGGAGGCCTTGACACCCAGCACTGGGATGACCTCTGGCTTCAAGGCTTTGAGCTCCAGGAGACCTGTGGGGGCAAAACAAAGACACTCAGGTTTTGTCTACACCTGGGAGGACCCAGGACCCTAGTCCTCTCACCACACTCACTTTCTGGGCTGCGGTGTGTGGTCCCTATCACCGTGCCATCCTGCCTAATCTCCAGGTGGACTTCAGTTTCCTGGTTGTCATCTGTGTAGAGGTGCCTGTGCCGGACTTGACCCCCAAACTGGAGGAGGGGGCTGGAGTCAGGGATGGGGTGTGCCTGGGAGACCCCCAGCAGGAAGATAGGCAGCAGAGGGACCCACAGTCCCGGGACCCCAACTCCAGATTTCATCCAGTCCATCAATAATGTGCTTCTCTAGGAAAAGTCCCTAGCAAGCACGGGGCTGAGGAGTGGTTGTCTGGAGCTGGCTTCTGACTTGGGTGTCTCAGCAGAGCAGAGCCAGTTGCAGAAAGGG